TAAAGATATAAAAAAAAAAAAAAAAAAAAAGAGTGAAGGTTCGGGCAACTTCAGGCCCAGTTCCAAGAGGCACTTCCTACAGGCAGCTTGGGTCCCAACTTGGAGAATGGAGGGTGGGTGGAGGGAGGGACTTCCAGCTGGCGACAGGGGGGACGCAGGCCAGCTAGAAGGCGGAGGCGAAACCGGACGCACCAAGGGGGGCGACCCAGAGAGGTTGCCCCTGCACAGAAATCACCCAGGGCAAAGAAGAATGGCCTGGAAGGGGCGGGGGCGGGGCCTGGGCCGGGCGGGGCCTGCGGTCGGGTCCCGCCCCCACCTTCAGCCAGGGCTGCTGCCAGACGCGCAGGAGTCCGACCAGAGCGCGCAGCGGCACCGGGACTCTCCCTTGGACGCTCGGACCCCGCCATGGCGTCACTGCAGCCACTGCTCTGCCTCTGTGTCGCCGCCGCGCACCTGGCGGGGGCCCTAGGTGAGGCGTCCCCAGTCCCCAGCCTAGCTCCACAGGCGCCTGAGCGTCTGGCAGCGGGCCTCGCATGCCCCCGTGCCTGGAGAGAGAGCTGAGGGACCACTTGCTTCCCCAGGCCTAGGTCCCTTTTGCCAGCCTGGGGGTGGGAGGAGTGAGAGGGCACCAGGGAGACGGAGCCCAGGACCTCCTGCGGCGAGGAGGAAACCTCAGCTCTTCCCTCTAAGAGATGGTAGGGACACCTGGAGTGTGGATATGAACTTTAGGCTTTTCTCGGTTCCAGGTGACAGAGGGGTACCTATCTCAGTCTCAGCCCCAGCGTCTGGACCCTGGATCATCCGGTCCTGGCCCCTCTCACCTAACTCCTCCCCTCTTCTACACACCTACCATTCAGAAAAGAAAGTCTCATCTCTGGAACACTCAGTGGAGGGGGAAATTGGGCCCATTTCTCAGATGAGGAGACTATCACTTCAAGAGGGAAGGGACTTGTCTAATGTCATTGCCCAGCCCAACTATCTCAGACAACTTGAGGCCAGAGAAGCCAGGCTCAATTCCAAAGACCTGCTGGCGGCGTGAGCCCCAAGTGTAGGGATGGAAGACAGAGTGAGGGAGCGACTTCCAACAGGCAAATGCAGAAAGGGAAATGCAGCTCAACCTGAGGGCAGAACACATCTAGGGGGAGAACTTGGTCTGGGGAACAGAGTGGACAGACTTACAAGGCCTATGGAGTTGGGGCTTTGGGGTCAGAGAGAGGCTTCCTGAAGGAGGGGGTGCTGTACCCCTTGGGGCCAGCTAGAGCTGGGTTCTGGCTTCTAAGAGCCTCAGTGTTTTCCTCTGTGAAATGGGGGTGATCATGGCAGCACTTGCATAAAAAGAGCTCACAGGGATTCCCATCAGTGCTTCTTCCTTTCTCCCACTCCTCACTTCTTCCACAGGCACTACCCTCATTGAGGAGCCCATGGAGACCATGTGGGGCCTTGAAGGTCCATCGCTGCGCCCTGGACAGCCCTCGCCAGCCCTGGAGAACTGGGAAGGTGAGTTAGCCAAGGCCCAGGTTCTGGCTCCGCTGTGGACTGTTGTGTGAGCTCTGGCTGGTGGGCCCAGCTTGTGTCAAGGGCCCAGGACCATTCTGGTCCCTGGACATGACAGTCCCTGGAAGTAATGCCCCAAGAGATCTAAGTTTTAGGAGCAGGGAGGTGAGAGTCCAGGTTGTTTGTCAAGGACGCAACTGAAGAAAGGCGGTAGCGGGGAGGTGGGACCACCTGCCTAGGCCATATAGGAAAGCAGGAGTTCTGGAACCTGAGTCTGTAGTTTGAAGGCCAGGAAAGTTCTGTTTCATTGCTCTGGAATCAGACAAGAAGTGAGTTCCCTCTGGGGGGTTTGGTATGGAAGGCCAGCCCCTTCCCACCTGTGGCCGGTTCAGCTAGGCAGTGAGCAAGGTCCCAGCTGGCACTAATAAGGCAGTGGAAAGCTACAGCTAGGGCTGGTGTCAGGCAGACTTCTCCAGCTGCCTTTATATTTTCTCACACCTCAGGGGCTCTGAATTCTGAGGGTGAGGACAGGTGAGACAGTGGCAAGATCTCTGCATGCACTGATGTGCCGGCTCAGGCACTGGGCAACAGAACTAGGGTTGGTCAACCTCCCGGTGACCCCTTCACAGCTCCTTCTGCCCTAGAGGGCTCTGGATCAGGGTGGGGCCGTGGGCGGGTTGGGCTAGCCCAACGCTCACTACTGGGGTGGAAGGGGAGGAGGGTCCCCTCCTAGACAGCATGTTCGGCCTGTACCACGCAGATGGGGCCCGACAGGCTTCGGCCCGGGTCCAAGTGCCTATGATACCCGCAGAGGTCAGCGAGTGGACGTCCTGGTTCAACGTGGACCACCCGGGCGGTGAGGGCGACTTCGAGAGCCTGGCTGCCATCCGCTTCTATTACGGGCCGGCGCGTGTGTGCCCGCGACCGCTGGCTCTGGAGGCGCGCACCACTGACTGGGCCCTGCCGTCCACAGTCGGCGAGCGTGTACATTTGAATCCCACGCGCGGTTTCTGGTGCCTGAAC